AAGTTTAGTTGATAGATTGTTAAGTATTTATCTAATGGTTTACATTTCTAGGTTTAGTTGTGAATAGTGAAATTTAATCAGGTCGAATGTAAAATAGATAATCAATCATCTATGGAGATGGATTTAGGTCAAGTAATATGGTAGATTAATTGGAACTTGAAACAAGAAACTGACGAATTGTTACAGAATTTTATAATAAAAGGTGGTACAGTAACGTAAATTTTCTACTAAGCTTTAAATTAATTCTTCTAACAGGTGATTTAAAAATAAACTAATTCATTAATTTATCTCAATATATCTACTGATTCATGTATTCCTGAAAAGTAGATTATATTGTAGTGAATGAAAACGCAAATGAGGACAATGGAATGCATTTGAATATAAAATTACAGAACATCTTAGTAAAATCTGAGAACCATACAGTTAATACTTCGTTTGCAAACTGTCAATCAATTATCTCAAACTTGACTGTTCCTTCTGGAAAATGTCAATCAGTCGTCTCAGACTTCATTTTTCTTTCGTTTCCATATCAACCATTCTCTTTCCTTCGATCTTCTTAACTTTCTGCCTCCATACATACTACTTATATCTGTGGAAATAAGTAGTACACACCACAATATTTGTTAGAACAGATAGTGCTCTTTTGAGTTAATCTATTTATTCATTGACAAAATATTAATCAAACAACAGCTGAGTGTTTGAGATACTTAGTTGATTTCAATCACTTCTTAACAGTGATCTTACAAAACTACTTACAAATTTAAACGAAGTGGTTGAGTGAAAATCAAAAACTTGTACACTTTGGATGCTCTTAACTCATCAATCGATGAGAGAACTCTTTATTAAACAAGTTTTAGTGATTATAATCCTAATTGTCTTTTATTTTACATTCTCTGATTGCTTAATCCCCATTAAACTTATGCTTCAATGTAAAAACAAAAACCATTTACATATTGTGAGATAATACACTTGTTGTCTTAATATATTTACTACTCCGTTGCTTTTTCATCCCTAATGAATTCTTTACCAACAAAAAAAAACGATATGTTTATCAAAGGATAACTTTTTATTTGCACCAATTATGAATATAGCCTAAAGGCTTTAGAAAACGGCGCATAAATATTTTTGATTCTTTTAAGTAAAACAATAGTCGAATCTCAAACGATACTTGGAAGTGACTAACATCCTTCTTCTTTCAAGCTCTATATGCTGACAATTCATCTTGAAACGAAATAAAAAACCATGATTTTACATGTAAACTGGAGTGTATTTTCAAATATAATCAATGGTGAAAATGTTAGTTATGAATTATAAGGATCCAAAAATATGGATCATTAAAACCCCATAACATCAATGACAAGCTTAACAAGATAGTCCACTACTCTATCACTAGCAGAAATGTTATCTTACATACTTACAGGTCAAAATAATTGTAAATAGTTAACTTTGATTACATTGGAATGTGGAGATTGTCGGATTTCATGAACTGATTGAACTTAGCTAAAAACACCGTTGAATACCAGTTTACTTGCTACATGTTAAAAATCTTTGCGCGGAACCGAATACCATAAATTCGATTCTCACGTGAGGATCAAAAGTCCTAATAAATGAGATGTTCCATATTACAACGAAGTGACCTCCCAGTGCTTCTAAGTTTTCAATGACGGTTTAACTCAGGTTAAACGATGGTTCTAATGAAATTCAACACATGCAGAACCACCAAAATAAAGTGAATAGTTATTTGTCCCCAAATAACTTTTTTCTCGAAGACTATTGAAAAAAAAGAAATTTAATAATTCTAAAAACTTTATTAAAAACAACAACTCCAGGTATTGTTAAATAGTCTTCAGTTTCTTCAACTTAATCCATTTCTAATAGTCAGTCTAATCCATCGGTAATCCATGCCAATCTTCACATTAAAAGTAGAATAATTCTATTCATAAAAACTTTTAAAATTAAAAAATAACAAACATAAAAAGTAACATTAGTGCCTGATGGGAAAATACAAACAACATATGGGTGTATGACCTATTATAAAAGAGGAATTAACAATGAAACATGAAAATAACATTGAATATACAGTTATATACAATACAATCAACTATGTTTAACTATATTTATGGTTGTTATTTCATTATTCTTTAAATGATTAAGTTGGGAAGAGAAAGAACACATGCGTAAACAGTTAAGTAAAATGAAAATCAGAAGGAAACATGTGAAATTTATGAGAAAATAAAGATCAATTGAGACAATATCACATTTGGATAAAAGGTGTAGAACAAGAAAAAATTAATTGGGAATTTTATGATTGATTACGTCATAAATACTCTCGGTAATTAGGCGCCTTTGTTCTCTTTCACTCTTTCATTTCAAAATTGAGCTTCTCTTCATGATAGTGGAAAGTATGGTAATGATTGTGTTATGCTATTAGTTAACTGAATTGTTTTCCAAACATAAACAACAAAACTTATACTCTCTTGATAAGATTAATGTAAATGGGAAAAGTGTTTAAAATATGGGAAGAAATAAAGTATGTGTGACTTCATTCAAGTTCTACAGTGTTTATTAATTCACATTAATCTTTATTTTAACATAAACAAATTTGGTAAGAGGAGTACACATACACAAAATCGTTTTTTGTCTGAGAAAGATTTAGATGAAGAATAGATAGAATGAATGTGATCATCTTTTTTTTCAAAAATTGTTCGTGGTTCATTGACATGAAAATATATATATTGCATGGTTTAAATCATGAAAGGATCTTAGCCAAAATCATGACTGGAAGGACTGGATGATTGTTTCGATATAGTATGGGACTTCTTAGTAGATTAATTCATGGTTTAAACTATGGAAATTCTACAATGTCTATAAATTTTCTCTATACTAATAATAATTATCTACTCACAAGTGACAAGGTTCAGAATGGAATTCCGGGAGTTCTAGTGAGAATCTGTGGCTAGTGGAATTCTATCATGTAGTCTGTGAAAATGTTGTGGAACATCTTGAGTTGATTGAAGTTAGACATGTACACCGTTGGATGTCGACTCAGTAGTCATTAGGTTAGGCTTTCGCATGCGAGACCGAAAGTTTAGATTCGATCTTCAGATTCTGAGTCGAAGATGTGCACTGATGATGAGTCCAATACTAGGAAGAGTGAGCCGTCCAGTGTTCCCAGGTTTTCAATAGTAGTTTATTTGAGATCAGTTTCTGTTTTAAGCTATGAAAATCCTACAGTCTTCACAAATCCCCCTATGCTAAAAATAGATTATTTATAAAGAAAATTGTCCAGTTAAAACACAGTGAAACATAAGCACTCTGTACATTATCATACAATGGTTGGACAGACATAAGCAGCATATAGCAGGAATCGAAAGTTGGATGCTTACTAGCAGTAGAGTGAAATAAAGGGAAGATGAAGGTAAATGGATAGCAATCTGAATGAGAACAGCATCGGAAGAATGGTGAAGTATGTAAAGGGAAACTGAAGGAAGATATGTGATTTACGTAATTAATGTATGATTTCCATATTTTAATAAGCCATAGTGTAATTCTGCATTAAACAATAAATTAGTTTACCGCACCTGAGTTTTTGATCACTACAATACCACTTGATTATATCATAAGCAAAACGAATAGTCGAAAAAAAATACAAAATATTTTACATAAAGCATGGGTTTTACTTAATCAATCATTGAAAACTACAATAGGTTAGTTAGTTCGTCGTAATATAATGCATTCATAAATTCACATGGCAATAGAAACTCTAAATTAACTAATTATCCACAAACTTCTGGTAGCGACAGAACAATCTATGTTTTCTTTTAATTTTAAGAATAAATAAAATTGTGAGATTTCGTTCTAAATTTTTTTTAAGTGAGCGATTTATAAAGATTGGTTAACTTCCAATGAAGTTTTCATGACGGATGAATATCAGTTGGTGAATCAGTGAAAGTACATCCAGTATGTTTATTGATCTCTTAGCTAACATTTAACTTTTTTCAAACTTATCTCTTTTAGATTTTCATATCCATACTATATCCATAAAAAAGTACCTCGAATAGTACATACGCATACAAAAATCTACTAGTAATTTGTGCTAAATGATATAAGAGCCTTGATAATTCATTAAAATAAGAACACATGACAAAATAGTTCTAAAAAATGTATGATAACATATTGTTTCATTGAGTACTACTACTGCTATTACAAAGCCTTGGCATAATTAAAAATTTTTCAATGTACCAATAAGACAATTAGAATCATTATTATTCAATGTAACAAACCTCATTAATTGAAATTAGACATAGATCATATGACTGTATAATAAGTAGGACAATGTCTTCATCAGTATTCCTACAAAAAAACTTTGTGATTGTTACTTATAAACACATTAATAAACTATAATAATTAATCGTTAACTATTTACTAGTATCAATCACATGAGAATGATTGTGATATAGGTATACTAAATGAAACCTATATGGTTATAGTTTTCTTCTTCGTTATTCGATACAGTCAAATTTCGGACAATTATCATTGGAACACATTCAGCGTTATACAGACCGAATTCAGTAAGGAGCAATCAATTTAGAACATAAATAGAGAGGGAATAACAAGTGGGTTACTACAACAACACGTTGCTTTTCATCAGGAAATTCACCAAACACGATAAGGTATTCAAGATGATAGGGAAACTGAAAAATAACGAGAACAAAATAAAAGTATACATATAGATTCAATTTGAATTGAAGCTCTTACTTATAACTTGCGCCTTTTTCCTATTATACAATTTTAAGTGTAGATATAGAGTCTAGGGAAATATTTAGGAAGTCGGTTACAAGTGATTAAGTAGAAGACTTACTGATGTATATAACTAATTACCAATGAAACATTCAAATTAAGATTATGCCAATCCATACCACAGATTATTAATATGAGCCCATAAGAAAAACCTAGTCGACTTTGTACAACCACAACCAATCAAAACACCAGTCAGCTGTCACAAATATAATAATGACCCAACATTTACCACAAGAAGCAATTAGAAAACAAAAGGAGACAGCATATTTTGTCATCGTAATAGTAAATATTTGCATATAATTTTACATTTTCTCTGGAATGTAATAAAATAATACTGTTCAAACATAAATTGTAATACACATAAAACTATGCACAAATATATTAATTTATTTACAAAATTAACAAAAACATGAAAATTCATTTATTCATCTGTGTTTTATCTCCTTCATCTTTTAGAACAAACTTTTCTCTGCATAACGAACATTAATTCTACTTTGTAATTCTTTCAACCAACATTGATCTATTTCTTTATAACCTATTAAAATGGGACGTATCGATGATGATAAAGATGACTGATCGATAATAGTAGTAGCATTGTTTGGTGTATTCTTTTCACATTTTACAACATTATCATTGCATGTTTGAATTGTAATATTGAATAAACCGCCTAAATGTGATAGAAATATTTGGAAATTTGTTAATGCTGTACGTAAACGTTGACGATGTTTTTGTGCCTAGTAGTAGAAACGAAAGATAACAATACATAAAGTGAGAATATTTAGGCAGATCAGTAGTATGAACAGTATAACTATTATTGCTCCGAACTATTCTTACATAATTGTTTAATAATAATGATAATAAAAATAGGAGAATAACTAACACAATAGAAAAACATACATAATACAAACAAGAAAATAAATTATCATAACAAATGAAAAACAAATCTACAAAATTATATGTATAGGAATATATCGGCAAGATGAACAAATTAAATAAACATAAGGCATAATGATGATAAAGATGAGGTGGAAAAGAGAAGGAGAACATATAACACTTTATTTAAGTAAACTTGACATTTTCTTCCTGGTACAATCGGTCACGCAATCATTAGAAAATTAAAAATAACATTTAGCTAGTTAAGTTAATTTTTCACTCTTCACATTGTCTTCATGTTTAGTATTAAAGATAAAATAATAATGATGAATGTATAAAATGAAAATAAGTTGTTCTTTCCACTGTTTTCTCATCTTTTTTTTTCTCTCTAAGATACATAAGATAGGAACGATAGAAGTCAAAGAATACTCAATTCTTAATAAGTCTTGAAATATATACACGTATTTTGTTACTATTATTAACTCTGCCTGTAGCTCTTCTAGAGCAACTGCCAGTCTCAAGTCCGGATAAAGAAAAAAGTTGAACATGGGGTCAGCATCTCCCTCCAGTAGAAAACAACCTTGCTAAATAAGTACTAACCAAATTATTATTACTAATAATAAAAGTAACAGTAATAACAGTTCACGACTCGCAATATCTTAAACAATTGTAACACTGTGAGCAATATTTACTTGGATTTCAAGATGAAAACAAATTCAATCATTAATGAGAGATTATACAAATCCTGCCTTATTGTGGATTCGCTTTGGAACTGTCCTATTATGATGCCTGTGTATTAATCATAAGGACAAACTATATTTACTTTTTAAATTAACAGATGACTGAGACTAAGAACTTGAACATATATGTATAAATAAGTAATATTTAATTAAATTTGTAAATAATCATTGAGTAACAGATGAAAAACTAATTTCTAAAATAGCAAGGTTTTAGATTATTATTTTATTGATATTCGGGACTGAATTCTGATCATTCTTTCATTTTGATGTATGTTGTCCTATGCGGATTGTATTGACAAAGATTGTTTAAAATAGATGGATAGCAGTGGAAACCTAGGAAAGTGTATCATCCAATTTGCGTCTCGTCAGCTGAATGTACAACGACTGGATAGTTTAAACTCTTACTAATAACGATACAAATACGTCATGTGTTGAAAAAGTCAATAAAAATCTTAACTAAGTAGCTTAGTGAGTAACGCTTTATCATTTGAGGCGAAAGTACAGGATTCTAGACTAGAGTGCAGATATATCAAGCTAATAACTCATAAATAGGATGACACATACTTCCTGAATCTTGCTTTTAGCCGAATCTATTATGTTATAACACTTATTCCGGTTAAGAAATTTGTGAAGATTACTTTGTTTACTCTAGACGTGTGCTTCACAGATTGTCATTAGATAAGGTCCTCCATTGAAGATCATACAGAGCTGAACATAAATTTTACTATAATCACGATCTCTTTAGCAGTATACATCTCCACTGCAACAGGGACCAAACTCAGGACGATCCACAAACAATTAACTTTTATACCATCGTATTGGAATTCACTGATCTAATTCTAATTCCAACCAACCGGTGAAATAGCACGACCATTATGAAAACCCATCGGTCCTAACTGCCTTACTTTTCAATACGGACGGACTGTCATGCCATGTAATTATAACCCTTAAAGTTATATATCTATTAATCTAAAATTTGTGTTTAAATAATCATTTATCCTTCACAGTTTTTTTTCCTGGGGTTATCGGGCAAATATGTAACGTCTCTAAACGATGGTAGTATATCTAATAAAATGTGAACAGTATCCTGTACTAATTAATCACATAATGGTCAAGTTAATTCAGAAAACTACACTCGTAATTCATCTTTAAAGTACTAATGTAAAATGAACATATTAAGCTTTTTCAAAATATAATATCACTGTTGTTATTTGTTTTCAATTCGTTGTAGTTAGATTTCAACTGACTACACTATACTGAAATATGAAGTCAGGTATTTAAAACTAGAATGATTTTAATTGGATGATCATTTTTCAGTAAAGCATCAAAAACATGTGTTGCAGGATAATACAACAATCATGGAGATAAAATGATGGGTGAATCTTTTATTATACCCTCACAGCGACGTTTAAAACATCATTATTGAGTAATAAAAAACGTTTTGAATCACCAGACTGGATGAGAAAAGAAAACAACACTTACCTCTTGAACTGCAAGTGGATTCGAAGAATCCGAGTCACTTTTACTCAATCGTCTTAATGATTCACTTTCACTAGGAGTTAAACCAATCCATTCAGTTAGTAAGTCCGAAGCGACATCTAGATCAAGAATTGCACTACCATCTGTAATTCGCACAGATAGTGTCCATTTAGTACCATTATGATGTTCCAATGATGACAATAGACTAATAAGTAAACCACGAATTGTGTAAACAGAATTTATGGAAGCTGAACTATTACTACTATCTTTTGTTTTAAGTAGTTTGTCATATATATCCTAAAGAAGATTATAACGAAACCTAATCAGTATTAACGACAATAAAAATGAAAGTTTTTATTTAAAAAAGACTACTAATTTAAGAAAAATTCAACCTTAGAACGATCTGTGAGTGTGTAATGTTAATGCATCCTTTGAACATAACTGGAAATAAAAGGAAAACGGGAAAACACTGAACAAATGTTTCGTTGCAACGAGATTTATCAGATATGCCCACCTACAATATAGTTATACCCTGAGTTGAGTTACTAACATTTTCTAATCTCATCCAATTCGGAATTGATTGAAAATGCCAGTACATGCTCTCAGTGCATTAACTTGGGATTCATCGTCCTCATGATGTTTCCCTTACATGATGATACATTATGTTCACGATCATGTTAGGACTCACAATATTCTGATAAAAAGCCATCTTGAAACATTTTTCAGGTATCGTTTTCTGAAATTGTAACGAAATTCTGTGGAAGTTGGACTGTTGGTGGCTAACGAACTTAATGGGTCGCTTTTGGAGAACTAGATAGTTTCATCAACCTATATTTTGTTATGAAAAAACAATGATTCTATCAAAACAGTCAACTACACGACTAAGATACGCGTGAAATCAAGGTTCAAAACAACGATTTCTGTAAGGAACGATTTTCAACTCGTATGGCATCGGTTTCGGTTAAGGCATTTGTATATATGAGAAGAAAAATACTTCGATAATGTAAATGACAGCAGGTAGATGTGACTAAAGTCGATAATGACTATCAACAATCAGAGCCAGGACTAAGACCACATAAATAAAGAAATTATCAAGTTTAAACGAAAATTCGAGGAATGCAAAAAACTGGAAATAACAGTTACAAGGGCTGAGAGGATGTAATTAAAATAATAAATACAATAAATTTCATTAGTTAATGTAAGTACATTAGGACGTTACATATCACAAATTATTCGAACTGATTACTGAATATTAGCAAGTAGTATAAAGTGATGCGCGAAAAATGGGTAGATGAGAACACAGAATCCATAATTAACAGGTAGTTCAGATTTTTCAATGTGATGATGATTAGCGTGATAGGCTGACATCATTCAAATGGAAATTTAGATATACGGAACACTATACAGATGTTGCGTCTTCACACGAGGCTCTAAAGGCTGTAAGTACCTATAAATCAGCTATAAGACCAGGGAATTTCAAGTCTGTTATTCATGAAGATAATCGATAATCTTTGGGAGCAATATTATGAATTAATCGGAGTTAAAAATACGAACCACTGAGCCATGTGATGACTGAATATCTTCATCTTAATCCTATACTAGTTGATTACTGAGAATAACTGAGCAGTTCCAAATTAAGACGGGAATCACATGGCTTCAGGATTATCAAAGCATTAAGATTAAAGGGAATACAATGAAGATTATCCAGTGCTACGCACCTATCAGTGATAGCAGCAAGAACAAAGACCAGTTTTATGAGTGGCTAAGGAAAAACCTAATCGTCTTGATGGGGAACATAACCGCCAAAGTCGAAATGGACAGCGCTAAGCGTGAACGAACTATGGGGCAACATGGACTCGGAGAAAGGAACTAGAATGGAGAGAGACTTTAAATCTGTGTATTTTCAACAATATGTTTATAGACGGGAACATTTCCTTCCTCAAATCCATACATAAAACTACATAGATTTCATTAAACCCTACTACAGGAAACAAGATCTATCATATCTCGATCAATAGAAACTCAGGAGGTTCATGAAAGAAGAACAAAGAGATAAGCCGATATAGTTTCAGACTAGTTTAGAAGACTTATCAACTTCAAGGTTAAATCATACACGCACAAACGATGATACTTATAGAGCTACACAAGACCTTGGGGCTTCTGGAAATTTCTGAAGTCACACAAAATATAGTTGCAGTATAAGTAAACAACCGATTAGAAGCGTGCTGCATGATTTCATAGTTTGTAGATGTATCTGCGAAGATTCCATTCAACGCTGATTACGTAAAACGTTTCCTGGCCATTATAGGCCTCCATGGACTTTGATGAAGGATACTTTGAGACTCAGCCAACAAGATGTGAAAGTTCCCTCCAGGGGAATGATCATATAACATTATTATTCTTGTTAAAAATATTAGTTAGTTACATCATTTAGAACTAAGGGAATAACTAGATATTTTTGTTTAAACTAAGTGAATATTTGTTCGTATAAGACACTGTCAAATGGTTAGTGAGGAATATATACGGTTTGACATTTGACAAATGCTTTAATAACCTAACTGATTTTCATCAACCTTCTTGTTTTTTCTTCAAACAACTCTAGAAGGAAAATAAATTACTTCAATAATTTTTTGGTTCAGTTGATTAATAGTCTAAACTATCCGACTGCTCAGTATGTTTTTGAGTTAAGTCAACTTTACAAGTTAATACTAGATATTGTTTGCAACACAAGCTTATTCACCTTATTATGTTTACTCATTAAAGTTGATAGCATGTTAAGATGAAGATTGTTTTCTGAAGATTGAACTAACTGATTTGAGATAATACGAATTTGAAACAAAATGTTAACAGATGACAATTGAGTAATGATTTTACCAGGTTCGCGATAGCTTCAGTTAGTCAATGAACATTTTATGAAAGTGTAAAATATAAATTTTAGATAGTTTGTTACGTAATTGTATCTGAAGGTAGTTAAATGGTTAAGCTACCCAGCTTCCGACTTGTGGGTCGCTAGTTTTACCCTATACTTCACCTACTTTGGTTTCACTAGTCAGGTAGTCGAATTAGCCAACACAAACAACATGAATCAGAGTTGAGTACGTAGCCCAGTAGTAAGCACATGTCTTGCAATAATTAATCAGTTTTAACGCTGAAGGATTCTTTATTAGGATAAAACAGTCATCCAGTGCTCTGTGGTTTCAAATAGTTTAAAATGAGATTAATCTTCCCCACAAGTCAAATCAGCCTTGCAATTTTGAAAAAAAGAGAAATATGTAAGGGTGAAATTAGTCTTAACTCACTTGAATATAACAAAATGGATAAAAGTGATAATCAATTTCCAATGAACTGGATGACAGTTGTCGACTACTGACCATGTGTTTATCATGATTATCTTCTGTAATCGTGGAAACAACTTGATGGTTGGATGAAGATGCAAACTGTAGTATATTTTTAGATTTACTATTACTTGCAATAGTACTGTTTGTTTGTTTGAATTCCAATGTTTTACGTTTAGGCACTGGTGGCAGAAGTTCTTCACTGTTGTTGATGTTAGTTTGTACTTTTATGACATCTGATTTTACTGGTTCTGGTGAGAATGGTTCGCTCGGTTGTGGTTTAGAAGAAGAAGAAAGGAGTGATGGATTATCATTCAGTTTATTCACTAATCGACTGCGTGATTGTAGCTTTAATAAAGTTTGTTTCAAACTTTGTTTTGATTCTATTCCTGATTTTATTGGTTGACTTATTGTACAACTTTTTGTCATTAAAGTCGATGATAATGTTGACGAAGTTGCAGTTGTTTCAGATACTTTTTTATTGGATTGAAAAATTGGTATCTCATTTCCTTTTAACTGATTAGTTTTTGGAAAATTTGTAGAATTCATTGATTGTTGTTCGTCTATTTCAGCTAGAGCAGAAGCCAATATATCTGGATCGACTTGATCTTCTAAAAACGGATCATCGCTATCAATAGAAACATTATTTTCGCTCTCACCAACAACAGCATGAGTACGTTGAAGACAACTAGATTTAGATTCATTTGACAACCGCTCTCGTTCATCAGATATAACACTTGCTGGTAAACGAAGTGGATCATTGAACGAGTGGAGAGAACTTCGTGAAATCGATACACCTAAAAACAATCATGATAAAAAATATTGATTTGATATTCGTTATGTGTAATAAACTAATCCCGAAGTTAAAATACAAAAGCAAGTTGGAAGACGACTGGGGTATAGTTAAACCACGATGTTGAGTCAGTTTATAAAGTCATCGAACATTGATGGGAGCTATATTTGAAAGTGCTGTATTTTCATGGTCAGAAATTGTTCATAGTCATCCAAATGTATTTATCCTTGCTCGTTGTCTAGATCTTTCAACCCATTAAATTACTAATTCATACATTTATTTCACACTAGATTTTACATGTGCAGTTTTCCAAAAGTATATTGTACATCATGGTTTTTCATCTTATCTCCCCATCTCATTGTGCTCATACGAAATATAAAAACTCGAACTAATTCATATTTGATTGACTAAAATGAATTTAAAAAGAGCCTCCAGAGTAGTTCTATTCTCATTGTGACAGTAAGATCATAAATATGTAATATTTAAAAATTCAACACTAACAAAATTACTAGGCCGTTAACAGTAAAAGTTCCTGAGCCGGTCATTTGGACGTGATGGTGATGTGTTGGCGAGAATGATAATGATTGGTTGTCTGATTAGTCAGACATGTAGATAGTCTGACAGGCGTCCGATGAGTTATATATTACCCTATCCTTATAATTATTATCGATTGTTCATTGTTGTTGGATTGTGTCCGGTTTTGAGTGGGAATATACTTACGCTCTGGTCAGGCTAATCACTTGTTCTTGATCTGAGTTGTAATGAAGTCATGTAGAATAGACACCAGGAGGGAATCTAGTGTAGATATTCGTCTAAGGTAAATTAACGTCCCATACGTGTAAACGTGGAAAACCAACCGTTATAACATATGGAATATGAATCTATTTAGCCATGATAAGTGATCATAAGTTTTCTCCTTAAATTACTCTCTAAGCAATGCTAAATGCAGAAGAGAAAGCAGTTGCGATTGTCTTTGAAAAAATGTTTACTTATAAGTAGTATTTAGTGTAATTTTGAAATGAAAGCAAAAAGTAATGACAAAACCTTTAACGTTATTTTACCTTAAAGTTCATTGATTCATATGATATTACATAGTTTTAAATCAATTCAAGAAATGAATTAAATACTAATCTCAGGTCACTTAAAAGAATTATTAGAGGGGAAATATTTACTAATAGTCACAAACGTTCTATAAGTTAATAAGAATTTTCATAGTTCAATTCATGAACTGTTCTTAGCTAGACCACCAATTAAAACCAGAAAGTATTGGACAATCATTCCGCCCTACCCAGAAGTAAGTACCCAAGGTTAAACGTTCGTCCATAGGACTAAAGGTCCTGGGTTCAATCTCTTGTGGTGGGGTTGTGGATGAGCACCGATGAAGAGTCCCGTACAGTTGTGAAGTACTTCATAGTTTTTAATGGTGGCCTGGATTAAATCAGTTCGTGATTTACACTATGAAAATTCTGCAACCTCTCACTAGCCCCATATGGCAATAATGAGAACTTGTTTGAACTTAGTACTTCCCTTATATATAACCAGACATCGGCGTGTATTGTGCTCCGCAGTGAAGATTTAATGAACTGAACAATTGTTAGGAGATATCTGTTATCCTTCAAAATATCACCCTGGTATAGGACTCTATTCAGAATTGCTTATCTACAACCCCTTCAAATCTGAAGGTTAAGTGATTCCCACAAGGCCTAAATGTCCTAGATTCAATACTTGATGTGGTTGTGAATATCTACTGCTGAAAAGTCCCATATTAAGACCAAAAACCTGTCTGGTGCTTACTGGTTCCTAACGTCTGTCTAATTAGAGTCAGTCTGTGATAATAAACTCTAAATTTGACAATCTCCATAAAAGTAATTATTACTAAAAATTATAGACTTAAAAATAGGCTTACCACTTCTATTACAATCTAACTGTTTCTCCATAGATTGAGCCGCATGACTTAATATTGCATCATCGAATATTTCATCATCCCATAATTCTGGAGAAACGCTACCACTGCCACCGACGACACCCCTATCACCAGTAGAAACCGTACTCAATGGGCAACGAACAGAATTTAGTGGATCTCTGCCATTCCCACTGTTAGTAATGTTATTATCACGGTTTTGTTGAACTTCTGGTACATAATTAGACTGCTCATTAGGCACTTCTATATTCGGTAACTGATTATCATCAGCTGGGCTGCGTAACTGTCTAGATGATACACGAGGAAACCAAGAAGGTAAGCTGTTATTTTCAGTTAATGGTATATTTAGTTTATTAGCCAATAGTTTACCAACCTCATATATGGTATTTTCTTCATAGTTTTCTAAGAGTTCATCAACCTATAAGTAGTAAAAAGCAAATAAATATAGCATCGTTTTATGTATTCATAATTTATTTTTATTATTACAGTATTTAAAACGATTTAAATAACTGCGAATTACAATAAATAATGACCATCTCAGATTTAGATGAAGTCACAATTATGATAAATATGTACATAAGTTGGATATTTAAGTTGAATATTAATTTCAACCATCCAAAATAAAGTCGCATAACAATTAATTCTAACATTAAATGATTGAAATTAAAAATGTAAACAAATCGATCTCGAAGGAGGATATACTCGACGAGGGACATGAGAATTCTAGTTTACATCAGTGAAAAGGTTGATAATCTACTTTGTTAAAGAATCTCACAGTGCAACGGATCGTTAATTGAGAATATCCTTGTTTTCAATGTCCATCCTTGATAAAAACCCCATTCAAATTATACAAACTTTGTTATTTCCATTCACAACTGAGGCTAAAGAAATAATGTGATTTAACGCAGCTCAGTGTAGATTCATGTAGTATGATTCGCAGTCGCAGACCTGTTGTGTAAGGGTTAATCGTTCGACTGTATGATAAGATTTGAATCTGTGGTCAAACTATCGTTTAAATGAGGAACATATAGTGAATTTTTAAGTGTAACGTAGATTTCTAAACGCTTAAAAATTATCAACAGTTCAAAAAATGTCGTTTTAAAAATGTCATTTATCAGTAAAAGCTGTCACATTTTATTTTCGAATCATGGTCTGGACTATCAAAAATAATAACGAAGTAACCCTGGACTAATAAGATATCTTAGCTAATCAATAAAGTTGATCAAGATAATAGAAAGCAAAGAAAAGCAAACTAGCTAATACCATGATGTAAAGATTATCGCTAAGTATAAATGCTGGTTGGCGAAAATGGACTACTGATTAGATATCCAACGGTGTACATGTCTAACTTCAATCAACTCAAGATGTTCCACAACATTTTCACAGACTACATGATAGAATTCCACTAGCCACAGATTCTCACTAGAACTCCCGGAATTCCATTCTGAACCTTGTCACTTGTGAGTAGATAATTATTATTAGTATAGAGAAAATTTATAGACATTGTAGAATTTCCATAGTTTAAACCATGAATTAATCTACTAAGAAGTCCCATACTATATCGAAACAATCATCCAGTCCTTCCAGTCATGATTTTGGCTAAGATCCTTTCATGATTTAAACCATGCAATATATATATTTTCATGTCAATGAACCACGAACAATTTTTGAAAAAAAAGATGATCACATTCATTCTATCTATTCTTCATCTAAATCTTTCTCAGACAAAAAACGATTTTGTGTATGTGTACTCCTCTTACCAAATTTGTTTATGTTAAAATAAAGATTAATGTGAATTAATAAACACTGTAGAACTTGAATGAAGTCACACATACTTTATTTCTTCCCATATTTTAAACACTTTTCCCATTTACATTAATCTTATCAAGAGAGTATAAGTTTTGTTGTTTATGTTTGGAAAACAATTCAGTTAACTAATAGCATAACACAATCATTACCATACTTTCCACTATCATGAAGAGAAGCTCAATTTTGAAATGAAAGAGTGAAAGAGAACAAAGGCGCCTAATTACCGAGAGTATTTATGACGTAATCAATCATAAAATTCCCAATTAATTTTTTCTTGTTCTACACCTTTTATCCAAATGTGATATTGTCTCAATTGATCTTTATTTTCTCATAAATTTCACATGTTTCCTTCTGATTTTCATTTTACTTAACTGTTTACGCATGTGTTCTTTCTCTTCCCAACTTAATCATTTAAAGAATAATGAAATAACAACCATAAATATAGTTGAACATAGTTTATTGTATTGTATATAACTGTATATTCAATGTTATTTTCATGTTTCATTGTTAATTCCTCTTTTATAATAGGTCATACACCCATATGTTGTTTGTATTTTCCCATCAGACAAAAATGATAATATTCAAGACTTTACTTATTTATTTAAACACATAAACATTGGTGCAAGGAGGTACCAAATAGATATGCGCAACATAGATCGTTTGATTTGTATGAGGGCTGAATTACTGTTCTAGCGCCCAAATGGAAGCAGGTGGTTTCCTAGGAGGCCACACCTAGAGTCTTTGACCAAAAAGTCGAGTGCACAAAGTAGTGGAGCAACGTTCATACGCCATTTGTTCCCGTAGGATCTTAGAGCCCATGTACACCATTGGTTTGGAATCAGGGTTTTCCAACTTCCCTAGATGGATCGTCCAAATCCAACATCCCGGACATTTACTTTTCTTCCTCTCAATTTCATAAACAACACCTACCGCCTCGAGAAGGCACTGAGTGGGACTTCCCTGGTAATAGTTGTATGTACGTGTCCATTCAAGAGCATTTCGAGGAGAGCTGACTATCCCCACTCTCGGCTGTACCAGAGCATTTATTACTTAGATCGCTCTGATTTTCTTCCTGTTCTCTTCATTTCAACCTTCTGCTTTCAGAAATTCCACTTCCGACTGGTGGTACACACTGTTTATATCTTTCAGTATAAATAGCATACATCACAATAGCACAAAAATTGACATAAAATCATCTAACAATTGTTTGTGTCCACCAAAAATTACCTACACCAGTGAATACACTGATGTCTTAATTTCTAGATTTCAAGAGCATGTTTGTCAGCATAAAATGTATGAGATTAAACCGATGGATTATAAAATCGCTACTTTGTATAGTGACATATATCTTGGATAAATTTCAAAACTAAGAGATTTTTCCACACTATGTACTTATCATACTTCGAAGACAATGGAGTGTTGATGTAGAATTTCAATGGTTGCATTATCCACTAATTTTCTATTATTTAGTAACGTTTCAAGCTTGATGTAAAAATAAAGCATTTAGTTATACAAATGTGACTAATGACGTGAGTTTTGTTTACGATTTCGAAATTATTCAATAAGAACGAAATCACATTGACAATATGCTGGAATAATGTAACGACGAGACTAATTTATGGACGAACCAATCAGGTATAAGATAACAGGTCACGGATTTTGGCGCGAAATTCACTCATCCATTTGGCTAAATAGAGTTTTGGGATTATAGTTGATGTTAGTTCGTGATGAAAACATTAAATCTAATTCCCAACCTTAACCATCGACCGTAAATCCTAATTCTAATTTCTCACACTGATTTATAACCCTCATTCGGTCCTAGTTGTTAGGTGGACACTCTCAAGGTCAGTCCACTCAAAGGTCGTCCATAAATTATAGCCTCACCGATAATAGTTAACTGTAGAGGTTAGAACGTATAACTGGCGAAGTCTACCACTCGTGAAATAGACGAAATGGTAGACGCAAGATAGAAAAATACCATAAATAAAAGTGTGATTAGTGAATTTAGCACGTGATATGGATTAGTGTATGATATTTTAACACAAAAATATTATGATTTCAATGTCCAGATACATTTTACAAACCGGAAAATAAATCATATGACTAAAACATTCTAAACATAGTAATGAAATGTAGACAGTAAATCAATAATAATGTGAATTGTGAAAGAATTTTCAAAACGAAAAACAGCTATTTGTGATCATTTTTCCCCATGGTTATATTCTTTCTTCTAGTCTAGACAACTGTAATTAATTATACAGAAGCATCTACATTAGTGTTAAACTATTTAGTATTTCAAAAAGTCAATTAAATAGTATCATTTAGTCGGTTATAAGTAACATAGAACCTGGTTTAATTTGCGATAACATAACAGCACATCGACATAAAATTATCAAGATTATTGAAACTAGTGACAGTAACTGAGGATAGTAGAAAGCATTAAACAAAGAGGAACAAAAAGCATAAGATAATTTTAACACGAGATTCAAAGAAAGAAAAAGTGAATGTGTTTCTGCTATTGTGAATGATTTTGGGCCACGTCACTTAAAGTCTGTGACCATGATTGCGTGGACCCCAACCAGATAGTCTGTAGCTAACAACAAAGCTCAATCCAACGGTCAATGACTTCATGGATTGGGGCCATGTTTTAATATGACCACTACTAGCTTTCAGCCAGTAAACAACGCACCCCCAAGACAGCTAAATGATGTGAATAGTGAAAATCATTATTTATCCAGCTTACCTCTCCTATTGCCGTACTACTCTCTCGCTTCCTGTAGTGATATATGTGTCAACTTGCATCGGAGATAAACATCCATGCTAGGTAACATAGTAACCAAGAAAAAGCTTGTGTACACAGTTTTCAACAATTTTTCAGTTTGAAGTCCAGTGATACTACCAAGCTGGTCAAACCAAACTAGGTAGAGTGGGATTTGAACTTGTTTTTCAATGGTCGAAATCTAATTGGTTTAACTACTAACCCATCGACTAACTTCGTTTGTGTAATGGTTCTAGTTTATTAATATTCATTGTTACAAACCAAATGTTAACTGAAGAACCGTATAAAACCAATGTGTAATCAGGAAACAATCTCTTAATTTGTGAATAGAATTCGTCACTAGTAGATCTCCGTTAGGGCACGAGTAAAAACCATGGTTCACTGGATAGCCATTTCGTCTTAGTATGAGACTCCTCAACAGTTTTTACACACCTTACGAGGGATAGAAGCTAGAACCTTCAGATCTCGCAGTGAACGCTTAACTGTCAGAATCATTGGGTTGGCATCTAGTGATACACATTTCTAAAGTCAGTCAATTAGATAAATAGGTTGATGATCATTCAATGGCATAGGTGATGATTGTTTCACCCTCGACATTTCTGAATTCCATCAGATACGACTTTCGACTAAAACTACAGCAATTCATTTTGAAGTAAGTCACTAATAAACTTGATTATATACATCGAATGGATCCCCATTAACAGTCGGTTATGTGCTGTTAGATTAGAAAGTTCCATCAAAGTGAGAAGAAATCGGCGTGAGAAACGATGTCTTTTCGTCATCTCCGTCTATGCCCCGACAGATTGCAACCCGGATGCAATCAAGGATGA